ACCAAACTCCAACTACCCCCAGAACCTGATAACCACATCCATAGAGTGATAACCCTTACTCCTCCACTATGGGTTCATTTCATCTACGAACATGATAATCTTATTTTAAAAAGTTTTAAGGGTATTTATTTTTTATTAAATATAAGATTACTATAATCTCAACCTACTCATTAATTTATAATCTCTTGAATGGTTCATAGGGATAAAAAAAACTCTATAACCTCTATTTTCTTCTTTCTCCGCCATTTGCATCCTTGTTTGAATTTTTTTTTTTCAATAAATTTGTCAAAGACTCATACCTATTGAGTGGGTGGCCGGAAAAAAGTAAAATTTTCATCAACAGTTTGTATCTCCTTGATTATAGATCAAAGGTTAATGTTCATTTTTCGGTACCATGCCGAAAAGGTAAAAGTTGGTACCGTAGAAAGACCAAAGTGGATCCCATTTTCTTATGTGATATAGTTGGACATTTATGTGCATGGAGAGAGGAGAGAGAGAGCATGCCCAACGATGCCAACAGACCACCAATACAAAGCCCAGAATTCTAGCCAGCTTTCATCAGCCATTGAAATTTATACCATAAATAAAAGACAATTTTCTTGCAATCTACATCTCAGAAATGTTAACATTTCAAATTTTTGAACGATTACCAGCTACAAGAACTCCATACAAGAGCTGATTCCAAGTATCAGGAACACCAGCAAGACACCAATGGCTACAATCATTTCCTTCATTTCCACCAAACCCATAAATGGATGAATGCCCATCTTTTCTCAGCTGTGAAAGTGTTGTCACATCCAGCAACTTCACCGGAATGGACATGTTTCTCAGTATTTCCTTCACCACAGCCACAGCTGCCATTGATCCTCCTGGGTACACAGACCCACTTAACGGTTGGGTTTGCCCTTTGCAAGTTGTGATTTCGACTCATTCCATTCCTTACCACTAGAGAGAGAGAGAGAGAGAGAGAGAGAGAAGGCAGAAGTGAATATAAAAAATGGTTGATTCTGGCAAAACACCGTAATAGTTGGTGGAAAGTATATGTTCTACTTGACTTTGATCCTCATTCTTTTAACTATGTCACTCAAATGCATAAATGGTCTAATCAATCAATTACAGTCACATCCATTTAAATATGTCGCAAAACGTGCACTTTTCGTCTTTAAATTATGTGTAAAATGATAGTTTGATCTCTCAACAACATAAACTAGATAATTTAGTCCTTAAAAACAATAATTCTCGAATATTTCGATGACCAAAAATATAGTAAGTCAAATGTCATGTCTTATTTTCTTTCAACCAATTTAAACGCTTATTATCAATTGTACCATTTATATCAATTAATTGAAAACTTTTTCAGGAGTAAAGAGATACTATTGAAAGAACAAAGACCAGAAATATATTTAGTCCTTATTTCTTGAAGTAATGATTATATAGAATAGTTAGGCAGATATTGCATTGGAAGAGACATGATCGGATTACTTGAAGTGGGTTGGAGAGATAAGGGCTTATTTTTTGCAGTACTAATAGAAAAATAGTCACGGTGGTACTACTGCACCGAGAGACAAAAGGGGTAGCTTACTTATAATGGGTTGGAGAGATGCCCTGAAAGAACACTTGGGTTTTGGTAGGATGAACGTTGGAGTCTATCCACTTCGACCACGTCGTTAGTCCTTCCTTAAAAGCTGCCAAACGATCCATGTCTTTATACATTTTGTCTCCTTTTTGTACGTAATCCCATCTGAAAACCAAATCAACATACCAGCACTAGTTATTAATGAAGTATTAGCTATTATTCTTTTATGGACAACTGTATATATCACTACTAGAGGGTCTTGCATTCGGTCAATCCATGTACGTGATCGTAAAAGAGTAACATAGAAAAAGGGAAAGTGACAGGAGTGAGAAGAGACGGTCGAGTGTGGTCGATAGGAAGTTATGATTGATTAAGGTGGAAATATAATGTTATTATAGAAATTCTATATATGGACATCAAACTCTGCTCTCTCTCTATATCATAGTAACATATTACAATAAATAATCAGTTTTGCAACAATGAATAATCCTTACTATGAGTGAGGAAAATCATTGGAAATTTGAAACAAGGTTTGAGGGAAGTTCGAAAAAAAGACACAATAAATCTCATCATGGTACATGAAACCACCTATAAAATACATCATTTCTCGGGAATCCACGATAGATCACCCATAACGAATTCAAGTAGATCTCACTTGTATTTATCATGGACGAAAATTAGGAGAACTTGTAGGGATCCAAGGAAAATATTATTTCGATCTAATTTAGAGGGAGTTTTTTGCACTTTATATTTTAAAAGATTTCAAAATTCTCATTTTTGTGTCTTCAAACATAAAATTTCTCGTATAACACCGTCAATATATCAAAAATATTACAATGTGTCACTTATATTAATTTCCATTATTTTTTTCGTAAAAAATCAACCTATTGACACTGACGACAAAAATAATGGAAAGCTAACAGAAGAGTTATATTATAACGCTTTTGACATATTGAGGGTGCAATGTATCAAATTTAATCTTTGAGAATACAAAGTAAGAATTTTAAATTTTTTCAAGAGCAAAGGCAATTCGCCCAATTTAAAGACCTAACATGGAGACCTAATTTAATACAACTATTAGATTAGTAGTGAACTTTATCAAACAATGAAATGCAATTAAACAAATGACTATATTGAATTAGGTCCCTAAATTATATCCTTATAACATTGATTGGAGTCCAAATTCCAAAGAAAAATGCTATTTGAACTTAATTTGTGGGATTTCATATAACATTAAAATTCACAATTAATTCAATGACTGTATTGGATTAGGTCTCTATAGCATTGTTGAATCCCGGATCGCTTATTCTAAGCAATGGATTCTCCATGCTAACTACTTGCCATTATGTATTGAAAGTGTTAATAAGCAAAAAATATATAAGTAGTTGGGTGTTTATGGCTTAGTATAATAGTATCTCACGATTGTTTGCTTCCTTTATGGAGCCACCAATGCCAAGTATTGAAGATGAGCATGTCAACCCCTTTCCACGCATCACCATTTTCGATGGAGTCCAACTTTAGAACTCTTCCTATCTTCTCTTTCACAAGATCAACTAGAAACGCATTGCGAGATAACATTACAGAAACATTATATTCCTGCAAATCCCATACATAAATTTGTTAAGAGTCAAGTAATTAACACCAAGTGGTTGGTATATATGGTGCCGGCTTTGTGTCTTTTATCTTATAATCATCTCAAAATTTAATCAAACTCGTGTCATGTCAAATTGTGTATTGTATATCTTATATTTACCTGCAATTATACCGACCCATTAATTTATAAGTGGGGTTTGGCGGTCCATCCATTTATCTCTGTACCGGTGTACCCCTCAGACTAAACCTACATTCACTAACTCTATGTCATGTTCAAGAGAAGTGTATGATTATCAGGCCCACAAACGACATATTGATAAAGAGATGGTTGACACTAGATATTGAATAGCTGCAAGTTGAAGGGAAAATTGAAGTCACACGTCTTCTAGTTTACTCTATCTTTAAAAACACTTATTCTATTTTTTGAATTTTAACTTACATTCATTATTAGATTAAAAGTGTTAATTAAAATGCAATTTTACTAAAATGCTCATAATATATATTAAGAAAAAAATTATCCACACCACCTCTAGATAGTCATAATGATACCCTTTTTATTTTTTAAATTTTTTTACGTATTAAAATTCAGACCGATTAAAATTTAATTTGAGCTAATTAAAATTTATTTTTTACGTATTAAAATTCGAGTAGATTAAAAATTATATTTTTTTACGTATTAAAATTTGAGCCGATTAAAAATTCAAATTAAATTTTAATCAACTCACATTGAATTTTAATTGGCCCGAATTTTGATACATAAAAAAAATAAATTTTAATCGATTTAAATTTTAATACATAAAAAATAAATTTTAATCAACTTAAATCGAATTTTAATTGACTCAAATTTTAATAAGTAAAAAAATATATAAATTTTAATTTACTAGAAGCAAATTTAATTGGCGCTAACAGTTCAGGTAGAGCTCAAATCGGCTCTAATTTTAATACTTGAAAAGGAATTTTAATACATAAAAAATAAAATTTAATTAATTCGAATCGAATTTCAATCTGCTCAAATTTTAATATGTAGAAAAATAAATTTTAATCGACTCAAATTTTATGTAGAAAGATTGTTTAAGATTTGTTAAATGAAAATTTTGGTATTTTTAATAATTTTTTTTTGTTTGAAATGTTGGTTTAACAACTGGTGGGTCAGTGATTTTTAAATATAAACTAGAACAGGGTGTTAGTGATATTTTAAAAGGAGAATTATACAGAGACCCCTTGAGGTTTGTCACTTGATCACTCAAACTCCTCAACATTTAAAATCTTACACATAAAATCCCCTAAAGTTTGTACGCGCGTAACACTTAGATCTCTGCTGTAAATATATCCATTAATAAATTATATTTAGACTCCCTGAAGTTTGTAGCTATATAATATTTATACCCTTTAAGTTTAAAATATTATAACAAAGAATATTCTAATCAAAGATAGAATATCAAATATTTTAAATTTTACAACCAAAATTTATATTCTATTGTATCATTTATTGAAATAAAATTAAAAATAAAATTCATTTTTTCTTAAAAAATCGTAATTATTATATTGGAATAAAACTAAAAAATCAAACAAGGGGTCTAAGTCATTCATAATAAAACATAAATTTTACATCTAAAATTTATGTTCTATTATGTAATTTATAGAAATAAAATCTAAAATAAAAATCTAATTTTTTTAAAAAATCACAGTTAGTATATAACTATAGTATCTATTAGAATAAAACTAAAAAATTAAACAAGGGGTTAAACTATAATGAACACAATATCTTTTAGCTTTAATTATGGTGGTTTAGTATTTTAATTTGGCCATTTAAACGACTAAATTAAATTTTAATAGACAATATAATTGTATACTAACTATGATTTTTTAAGAAAAAATTGAATTTTTATTTTTGATTTTATTTCAATAAATGATACAATAGAATATAAATTTTAATTGTAAAATTTAAAATATTTGATATTTTATCTTAAATTGAAATATTTTTGATTTAAGTATAATATTTTAAATTTAAGGGGTCTAAGTTGGAGTTTTGATATAATTTATTAATGGGTATATTTACAATAAAAGTTTAAGTGTTATGTACGTACAAATTTCGGAGGGTCTGGATGATTAAGTGAGAAACTTCAGAGAAATTGAGTGTAATTCATCCTCGTTTAACGATAGAGAGGTATGTTGAAGATATCATAAACTAGAAATAATATGACTGAAATTTTTCCAAATTTGCATGATAATGAACTCATTAAACAGCCATCCATCCTACACTAAAGATGAGCTGGGATAATAAAGGCAACGGCACTCCATAAATCATTGCCAGATGCGAAGACACATCAACCTAGTGTAGGTCATTCAGGTGGAATCCTCACACTGTGAAGATGGATGGTCTTTCCAGTATTTAATGGCAAACTTACTTAAAAAATTTCTTCTCTCCTCCCCATGGGAAGAAAATCTAGCAACCGAACAAAAGTCCTGACAAAACGGGTAATTACGTGATAGTCAAGAGTTCAAAAAATACGTGGGACAAATCTTGAACATAGAGAGAGAGAGAGAGAGATGGATAAAGAAATTAACCAACCGGTAAGCTAAAAGTGGAAAGATCTTGTATCCTTTCAAGTGTGTAGTTTGGCTGGGGTACTACTGCAGCATGCAACAGGCAAGTGAGAGACTGCCATTGATTGAGGCTTAGAGAGTCCCCCACGAACAATATTTTCTTGCCTTTAACCCTCCTCAAAAAATCCTGACTATTAAATCTGCACAACATTGTTACACATATGAAGTACTCTTGATTTAGGCCTTAGTTCAATAAAACCCGAAAGCGCAAATTACATCTAGGTCCCTTAAACTATACTGCTCATTCTACATTGATCGCTATAAACTTATTGACTTTCTCGTATTGCACCTTGAATTTTGCATTTGAGTTTCTTTTTGTCCCAATCATTGTCGCAAATCAGGACAAAAATAGAATTCTGCCCAACTAAAGAGGGAAATATCACATCTTCTAACAATGTGAGATCTTGTTTTTGTCTAGATATGTTGTGAAAAATTGGACAAAAATTAGCAGTTGTGAAACTCAAGCCATTAGTTTAAAGTGTATTGTGAGAAAACTGACAGTTTAAGAGTCAACAATAAATGAGAGACATAGTTCGAAGAGGCTAAGTGTAAATTTAATTTTCCAGCCAAAATAAACTGTCATGCAATTTACTGATGAAATATATTTGGCAGTGCAATAAATTGAAATACATTGCATTAATTGTGTGTATTTTTTGACGTCTTTTGGACCAAGAGCTACAATGCATGACTCAAATGTACGTTAGCTAAGCCCATTGGTCAAACTTAAATTTTATACAATTTAAAGATTAGAATTTAGAACTCACAACGTATAGATTTATGATTTGTCCCCTATTTGAACCAATACATATCCAACTTATATCAATTCATTGTATGAATTTATGTCTCTCTATGACCATTCATATCTGCAACATGGGAGTGAAGTGATGCAAACAAACGTACCTGGGCAATTCACATGCACTTGGCTTCCATCTATATTTAAGATAGAGTTTGTCAGGGCGTCCATTTCCCTGGCAGTCGAATTGTTTCTCAATGAATGAACAGAATGTTGCATTGTACAGAGGGTATGTTTCATCATAAACCCAACTTCCATGGAAAAAATCACAGCCCTCACTTGATTCTGATCCACCCAAGTCAATAAAATGCTTCAGTAATGTGGCCCTGGTGGACTGGAATGTGCATGAAATGAACAAAAAAACATAAGCAAAAAGGTATAGACTACACCACCTATTTCCCATTTTTTGTGTCTCTGTGTGAGAGAGAGAGAGAGAGAGAGTTTGATGAGGTTTGATAAGACAGTGAGGATTTGATGGAGAGAGAAAGAAGAGAGAAGTATATAAGAGTTTGGAAAATGTTGAAGAGTTTTGGAAGGTTGTTAGTTAGGTGTACCTGTAGGTTGATTGGCTTAAACACCAAGACATTTAGACATTAATTATTCCCTTCTTTTCTCTACTCTGGTGTTGTTAGGATTCATTATTGCCAGTGACGTAAACCCCATTTTCCTCATCATTTTTCACTCATAAGTACTCAAGTCGCCAACTCATCCTTCTAAGGAAAACCTCAAACGTCTGTTGACTGTTGAGAGATCAATTTCTAGACTTTTGTGGCCTGATAGTCGGGGGATGTTTAAATTTTTGATTAGCAGTAATTTTTTATCTTATTCGATCCTATTTTATTTTATTAAACGGTTAGTCACAAAAATTGAGTAAGAATGTAAAAGAATTTTTGGTCTTTCGATTAAATTGGGTAAAAATGTTGAATACCCATCAATTTTCGCATTACTACCCTACCCTACCTGCATAAAATATATTTAATTTTGTTATATTTTTTATAGTAATTATAAGAATATTTGTGTGGTATAATTTATATTATAATATTGTTATTGTTGTAAATGTTTGAGTTGCTAAAAAATGGACTTGTTTTTTGTGTAGATTACATAATTCGTGGTAAACTAGTAATCTATTGGAGCAATTATGATTTTAATGTGTTTCATATAATTTAAACTTAAAATAATTGTTATTATATTTGTGTAATAATTATGATAGATTAATGTTCATACTTTTTTGTGTTTTATTGTAATTGTTTTAGGTTTTAGTGTTATTGATTTATTGTGTTGTTAAATTGGTGCATGTTACTTAATTGAATTATTAAATGATCCAAAAATTAATAGTTATAAAATTATTTACCCGACTTTCTACCCGATTAATCCGATAGGAAGTCGGCTAGGAATACTATACCTGATCGGATAGGGTAGGCTAAAAAAAAATTCTTCTATAAAATATCTGATAAGAAGACGATAGATTAAATTTCCTACCCATAAGATAGGGCGAACACCCTTACTGACTGCCTTTATAGTTTTGGCCAGACGATAAATCTTGGCATTAAATTTGAACAAGTTGAAGGCTTGAAGTTGGGGCGTCCGCTGCGCGTGAATGACA